AACCCAACCGGCTATTTTCCTGTCTTTCTTAGTTAGGAGAGCAAGAACAAGTCTCTCTTTTTTTTGGGGGGGAGCAGAGCAGTCAAAGAAATGAAGCAAAGCAAATGATTTTTATAGAATGGCTATTTATTTTTCTAGGCCCTGTAGAAATTTTTCCAGGGGAACCATTTGCATTTCACTATGATGGCGCGGCGGCGTCAAAGATTCTAACTTTATTTATTATTTCCGCTATAGTTCTGACACAAATCTGCATAGATTTTAGGAGGGACTCCCTTTCTAAGGAACTTTTGGATGCCCGTTCTTTAGGAAGGCTTGGGTCAGTTCGTTTTTTTATAACTTTTTTTCTTTTTTTGTTTTTATTCGTAGCCACCACCCCCCTAGTCGCCGCCTGCGACTGTAGGGGGACTTCCCCCACGTTAGAGTGGCACCCCCATCCTGACGCTCCCCACGACCCCGCCGTTCCCCAACCCCCCGCCCCCCCTGCGCGGATCCAGCCAGAAGTTCCATGGTTAGACAGGCCCCTAATGTCGGAAACCGATCGGAGGGGGGAACTAAGCCGTCGCTTAAGTGTTTATTTCATTGGTAAACACGACGCGGGGCACCTCCGCGAATTCCTGAGCATCCTCGAGCAGCAAATGCTGCTCGAACAAAGGATAGAGGCGGCTTTGGTGGGCGATGGCTATTGCCCGGTTCGTGTTTTAGCGAATCGACACGAGCTACGTGGGATACTCTTTAATCATCCTACTAGGGCGGTCGCGCTTTCGGAGCGGACCCTTATGGCGTATGGGGCTCAAATCGAGCGGAATGGAACTCGGCAAAGCGTTCCCTATAATAGGGTTTTAAGAGAGATTCGAAATTTGAATCTCTTTTTTTAACGCTGGGCTGGGGAGCTCGAGAAGTAATACCAAAACCTTTCTTTTTTCGGTATGCCGCTCCGCGAGCAAGGAATGCCGCGCACGAGCGGAGCGAAAACAAAGCAAGGGGAATTCTTCGATTTTTGGGTGGGTCAATCCTTTGATTGCGTATTGAATATAGATCCATGTCTTTCTTGTTCCACTAGCTAGGACCAAATTCTCACATGTCCGTTTCGTTATTACAACCTTCTTTTTTGATGTCAAAGACCCGAAGCTACACGCAAATTCTCATTGGATCTCGGTTGTTCTTAACAGCGATGGCTATTCATTTAAGTCTTCGGGTAGCACCACTAGATCTTCAACAAGGTGGAAATTCTCGTATTCCGTATGTACATGTTCCTGCGGCTCGGATGAGTATTCTTGTTTATATCGTTACGGCTATAAACACTTTCTTGTTCCTATTAACAAAACATCCCTTTTTTCTTCGCTCTTCCGGAACCGGTACAGAAATGGGTGCTTTTTCTACGTTGTTTACCTTAGTTACTGGGGGGTTTCGGGGAAGACCTATGTGGGGCACCTTTTGGGTGTGGGATGCTCGTTTAACCTCTGTATTCATCTCGTTCCTTATTTACTTGGGTGCACTGTGTTTTCAAAAGCTTCCTGTCGAACCGGCTCCTATTTCAATCCGTGCTGGACCGATCGATATACCAATAATCAAGTCTTCAGTCAACTGGTGGAATACATCGCATCAACCTGGGAGCATTAGCCAATCTGGTACATCAATACATGTTCCTATGCCCATTCCAATCTTGTCTAACTTTGCTAACTCCCCCTTCTCAACCCGTATCTTGTTCGTTCTGGAAACACGTCTTCCGATTCCATCTTTTCTCGAATCTCCTTTAACGGAAGAAATAGAAGCTCGAGAAAAAACCTAGTTCACTCGCTGAGTCTCTTGCATCCATGGCTGAATGGTGAAAGCCTTTTTTGATCGTAGGTTCGATTCCTGCTGGATGCACTTGGAACCTGAAGTTTGTTAACATCTCCTCTTGCAGGTACTAAACGTAGAATTCTATTATTTAGACGTAGAATCCGATTCAAGAATCTTCCCCGCCAATGAATTGAAATTCTTCGCCACGTACGTGGCGAAGAAGTCTTGTCAAAGCCCAAAACCAATAAGTGTCGACAACACCGGCGCTTTTACAGCTTGACGAAGGAGGAAGATCTTGTTTTGACACAAGATCTGGCCAAGCAGGTTTGAAAGCACGAAAACGTCCATCGAATTCATTTCAAGGAAGGCGGGAGTCTGCTTTTCAAGTACCCCTTGCTTCTCGCTTCCCCCCGGCAGATCGCCACACCAATTTCAAACAATTCGGAACCTGTGGTTTCTACCTTGTCAGTTCCTTGTCAGTTCGGGGATGATCCAGGTGCTGAAGTTCTTGTTGGGTGCCGTCGAGCTATCTCTTTCCGGCCTGGCCCCTTATTCCTTTGGGGATAGCGCCCTTGACTTTGATTCTAGCGTCTTCAGTCTACTTCGACGCCGAATCTCTACGGAAATACTAGATCTTCATTTTTGAAACCCTTAGTGTCCGGAGAGCGCAGCGGAGTGCTTCTAGATAGAAAGCGGAGGGCGAGGGCGGTGTCTAAGATTGTGCCCTGTAGTTACTACCTATGTCCGTGAAAACTTGATCTGCAAACACCGACCATGAGCCAAGGGAGGTGGAGCCGAAAGAAGTTCAAGGGCGTCAGTTAGGAAATGAATCACAGGGTCTACCCTCGTTGGGTATTCCAAACCTTCTTTGTTTCAGTGTCTTTCTTATTTGCATAAAAATTGGTGGGTTTGTTCCTTGGTAGTATCTCACACCTTACCCTGGGGTTCCAAACCGCCCTTATCCTAAGCTGGTCAAAAAGAATACACAAGATGACATCATGCACTTCCTTTTCTCATCGGTTGAAAGGAGGAATAGGTGATGGTTAGGAAGAGACTGATGACTAGCTTCATGTGCGGAAATAAGGAACAGAATGACTAAGGGTTCTAATGGGAGAACCTACAGACAAGGCAGGGAGGTTACGGTGTTAGGGAGTGACTTGCGCTGCGGACAGACCCATTGCGTTCGGTAGTGACTTCCTTCGCTCGTATAGCCTAGGTAGCCTCGATCAGAGGATGGCGATGCAGATTGGGATGACTACCCCAGTGAACAGATTCAGAGTGCTCGAAAGCCTAAGACAAAAGGAAAGAAGCAAGACCTAAACAAGGAATATAGCACTCCCGCGAAGAATGTGCTAACGCGTAGCAAAGCAAAGAAAGGCTCCATTGGATATCTTTCTATAGTATATATCTTTCTCTCTTGAGATAGAAAGGGAATCGGCAGCTAGCAATAACTTAGAGAAGAGGCTAGAGACCTTTGCTACTTTTAGAAAGGGAACGAAAGCTCGAACTTCTGGGCTACGTTTTAGAAACAATAGCAACACAGAGCAGAGCAACAGACACTCGAGGCAAAGAGCCTCGGTGAGACCTAAGCCTATAAGACTGGATACTCCTCCTAGGCTAGTTGGCACAGGGTTTTCGCTTGATACACCAAGTTAGAGAGTGTGGGAATAGCTTGATCCTTAAATGATCTTGGCCAGCTGCTTCGCCAATCTGACCAAAAGAGGCCCTTATCACGTAGCTTCACCTCAAGTTCAAAAGAATGAAACATCGTTCTTTTCTTTGAGCCCATTTCCCCTTTGCTTTCTCTTATCCCTAATCTTCTTGCATTTCTTTGAAGAAGTTGCTGTACTATTTGACCATATTTCGTATCCCATTTCAAGTTGATTCAGACTTGTTTTATAATCTAAATATGCTTCTTGTTCCGAGTAGAGCACTATTAAGCTTGCCTGAGGTTACAACTTTTCTCACATTGGGAAATTTCCTTTATAGCGTCACCCTATTCTTACCTTGGGCAACTAACCTAGCCTTATTTCTTCTAACAATGAGCTCAGAGCACGAAGAGCTGCGGCTCGCTCTGAGCCGGTCGCCGCCGGCTAAGGCCCATTCTTCACTTTTCAAGAATCAAGAGGGAACGTAAGCATGGGGGGAATGTTTTCTTTATCCAACAAGTTTTCGTTCGTAAATAGATATGGATTCACAAAGTTTTGCAAGGAAGGGCACCAGCTACAAAAGATACCAAACCAAGAAATGGAAAGCAAACAAGCTCATCCGGATAATAAAGATTTTTTGAAGAAAATCGCACACGAGAGTCAGATAGTAGGGCGACAAACCAGAGATTTCGTTCACCCCCGACTTCCGAAATCTCTCTTGTATTTCTATCTTTTGGGACTCCCTGCTTTGCGCTGACCTTTTTGCGAGGTCGTTACAAATGCATCCTTCCCGTAGCCCTGTACTCTGTGCCTCATTTTGGAATGTTTCAGAGTAGGATCTCTTGCCTACTTGCATCTGAACTATTGGATCAAGTGTTTTCGCTCATAGAATGGCTGCCCTCAACGATCGATTGCTGTCTCTTCCGTGGTGTTAGGCGTGCCTCAGCAGGAAGAATGGCGGGAAACTCAGTAATGTATCGAATCAAACCTTGTCTGAGCAGAGTTCAGATTCTGCGGCTCATTCTCTGCCTGCTCCAGTGCAGCAGCAAGCGCAGGCACTTACGCCATTACGCTTGGCTTGTCCTTCCATTTGTTTGGATCGAAAGAGCTTCTATTCCCATTCTCGTTCAGCTTGGTCTATATTGACCTATTTCTATCTTGTACTATAAGACTATCCCGGAAGCAAGATATTATGCATACTAAGATCTTGCTCTGGGCGAATCACATATTGTGCGCACTTACCCCTTGTTTTATTATTTTAGAAATTGAATTTCTGTTTTATCGACTTATTTCATATCATGGTTCAAGCGTTAAAAATCGGCGAGGTTTACTACTACTTTTCGAAATCCGAAGAAGTTTCCATAGAACTCTTGTCAATGGCTTAATCAATTACTTCTTCGTAATGCTAAAAACAAATTGGGATTCATGTTGGAAATAATCAAAAATCTAGGAATTAGAACCATAAGAATAAGAGTTGCCTTTCGATTATCTTAGATTGATCGGAACAAATAGATGTACCAAAGAAATAGAATTGGGTACTATGTAGATATCAATTCCATATATGGAATTGGAATCTACATATATGAAGAGTATTGTAGATTGATCTATATTAAGCCCCTATCTTTATTATAGAGTACGACTTTATACACTACAATAACACTAATAGATAGTATATGGTAGAAATAAATATTCGTATATTTATTTCTACCATACTATCGGATCTCATAGAATACTGCTAATTCTAATCCGCTCATTTCATTTAAGACGCGAAATTGGAATCCTTTTCATTTTTTTCTTCAATCAACTCAGAAGTCAAGTTTTATTCAAATTAATTAATCATTTTGACTGATTGTTTTTACATAAATGATAAGTAGAAAAGCAGTAGGAACTAGAATGAACAGTGCAGTAGCAATAAATGCGAGAATATTTACTTCCATAATCTCATCGTTTTTTTACTTCGCAATAACTCGGGATTTAATCCCATAGAGATGAAAAATCTTTCGCCTGTAAATTCAATGGATGAATTACCTCTCGATCATATTGAATCGGGTCAATATCATGAATAACAATATCTGAGCTATCAAATCAATTCATCGTCGAGAATTGAATAGTATAACATAGGAAGATCTTTTATCCATACCGAATCCAAAATTGGATTCCTGATCCAATCAAGAATTTTTTTATTTATTTGATCATTCTTTTTTCTTTTCTATAACCTACCCTACGTCTTCCTTGTACAATCATCTGATGAAGTATCATCTGACCGCCTTCCAACTTCCATTAATCACAAACCCAAACAAACACTAGAAGTGAAATGGAAAAAGAAAGGAGTTAAGTTCTAAACTCCATTTTAATGATCTAATTTTCTTGGAAGACAAAGAAGTGTGATAAAGATGAGTCCCGGTATAAAAGATATAATATTCCATCAAATTCAATATTTTAGGATTTGATTTGTTCTTTATTCGATAGGACCCCGAAAAGAAAACGGAAAAATAAGAAGGAAAACTTTTCCATTCCTTTCCTTTGCTAGGAGTGGCGGGATCCTTGTTTGATCTTTATCTTTATCTTCCCCCTTCTTAGATTAGTACGGGGCACATATATCAAAAGCTCAGTGTGCAATTTGAATGAAATAGATTTTTCAAATTCAAATTAGTAATTGAAGTTACACAAAATTGGGGCCAGAAAAAAAGATAATGGAATCTGGAAAAGTATTCTATTAGGTAGGGTAATTATGTTAAATTCATTTTGTATCGTACAAGAAACGAATCCCATTTGCGTATGTGCTCCCGAGAAAGATATGGTACTCTATTCCATTAGGGGGATCGGGAGCAATCGAAAAAACAGATCCAGTATCTCTTGGAATCCTGAATAGAATGCTACCAATAATTGTACTAATCGACATATGTCTTTCTCCCATCAATCGGTACTAGTTAAAGTAATGCAAATTTCCCTATTTGTTTGATGAGAAATGCGAAAGGAAAAAGGAAAGAAAAAAGAACTAAGGGGCGAATTTGTTTATTGAATCCGTCGGGACTGACGGGGCTCGAACCCGCAGCTTCCGCCTTGACAGGGCGGTGCTCTGACCAATTGAACTACAATCCCAGGAAAATAGGGGATATAGCAGAAAATGCGATTCTTTTTTATTCCTCCGTATCAGATATTTCTGAAGGACAGGGGAGTTATACCAGTTCATGGTAGATTGGCAAATTATTGGGCCGAGCTGGATTTGAACCAATGACTCCCGCCGTATGAAAGCAATACTCTAACCACTGAGTTAAGTAGGTTATTTATCATTACAAATAGAACCAAATGGGACCCGTCGCATCGATGAATTATAAATATCATATTACTTATAAGCAATACCAATCAAACAGATCAAATAGCTCTGATGC